ATCCATCAGACGGAGGTTTCCGCTCCACGTTCGAGAGCACAGATGCATCGGCTGAGTGATTTTGTTATGCTTGTCAGAGCATTTTCTTCTTCTTCTTCAGGAGTTCAGGGTACTGATTAGTATCCCTTTTTTTCTGATTTGATACGTCTTTGTCTTTTCCTGTTTATTACAAAGTTTTTCCAAGAACAAAAAAAAAATGGCGGATAGTATACAGGGAGACTTCACTTCCTGGTAGTTTTGGCCCCCTTTTCCCCTGGCTAAATCGCAACTTGACGGCTTGTGTAATTGGTCAATTCAGTCTTGCTTGACCGGAGACCTCCTTGATCTTTGAGTACACGTGATGGTTTAATAAAGCCAAAGTCTTGCGTACGGCATTAGCCTCAAGGAAGCTACCAGAACCGAACTGTTATATTAGTAACTTTCCGTTGTACTAAAAATTCCAAAGTAGCATTTGCTTTCAGTGACTGTTTTTCCATACAGTTCAATATCAGCCTGGAACATGTTAAACTGTACCATTAGAGCTCATTTCCTTTACTTTAATTGGATGGTTCTCCTAGATTAGATTAATACTATCTTTTGGTAGATGTTTCTAGCATATGTGTGATCTGTTCATGCATACCTGTGAACACGGTCGAGTTCATTAATTGACGCTACTGTTAGTATGCTACGCTGTCCATTGCTCTTTTCTCTTTTTGTGAGGCTCTGTCCATCGCCTGAATATAATATAGAGTAGAGTATTCGGATTTCTTTCTCTATACTTTATGCCAGCTGCTGTGGTCACACGTTGTCAAGTATCTATACTTCCCTTTACAAGTTACTTTTTTGCTTGGAGGATCCTTCATGTAATCATCATATTGCACATTGGCCCCCTTTGGAACACGGATTTTTTTACCGCTCCTGCATTTTTCATGTGAAAAACGAACTGATTCCCTGCCGTTCTAAAGGGCCTTGAACATTATCTAGCTCAGCTGATTAATCAATTCCACACATCTTTCTTCTTGTCTCATAGATTGATGAACATGTTCAGAGGGAGATTATGAACCACCGGTCCCTGAAGCACCCAAACATAATTAGATTCAAGGAGGTAAATTTCTCAGACATCTTGGAAAGGAAATGTTCTGATATGAGTTTGAAGTTATGTGATTGATAGCTACACACGTAAGTGTCTTGAAACTGTTACTTTTGATGCTTTTTAAAGAAGAAAAAATACAAATGTGTTTCTATTCTTATGGTTTCAAGTTGTTAATTGTAACAACTAGAGTACAATGACTAACTGATCAGCATTTGTGTGCAATGTCAATGTGCAACTATTTCTTCTCTTCCCCACAAAGACCTATTCCAGATAGAGGCCCCGTTCGCGTGCCCTTAAACCCGGCTTGATCCGCTTCTTTTTTCATTCGGAACAGTGTTTTCCTCTCACAAATTCCTCCAGAATTCCTCCAAACCATTCAAATTCCTCCAGAACCATACCATCCGAACGGGCCCAGAAAGTGATGGTTATCTGTAGTTCTTTATTTCCGGTACAGGGATAAATCATAAATGGAATATGTAACGTGAAAATCTACTTGCAGACTTCTGAGGGTTCGTCTGATGGCAACTCCAGTGGTTTATGTGGCTGTGTGCCTGAGTGTTAGAAAAGTCAAACAGACTAACCAGGGTACTTAGTACTTCTATTTTTTTCCCCTAAGTGGGGCCAGTTAGGCTCTCCTTTAAAATTATATTATGCTCATTGACTTTAGTTTGGCTTACCACTTGGAGCTTTTCGTACTACTCCTACTCAACAAATTTATTTGTTATCTACAATGCCAGGACATTTCAGCACATTGTCATTGTGTAATGTATTTACAGCAGTAATGCACATTGTCATCAAGGCTCCTTTTATATTCTTTGCCTGTTGAACGAGATGTGTTGAGTGACACTTGTGAATAGCGTGCTGGTGACTGCACGTTTTTATATATCTTTTATTGTTATGTGACTCTTAGAACCCCATTCATTTACCACTTATACTTGTCTCTTTTTTTTAATGAAGGAATTGTCTCTGTCTTGTACTTATAACTCTATCTGCTATTTCTTTCCATTTCATCATTGAACACCTGCTTTGGACTGATTGTCAAGGTTTAATCATCAAAAATCATTTCTAGGTTGAAAATTAAAGTAGTACTTAGTTTTTCAGGTCGTGCTAACTCCCACACATTTGGCAATAGTTATGGAATATGCTGCCGGGGGTGAGCTATTTGAAAGGATTTGCAATGTGGGGAGATTTAGTGAGGATGAGGTAAAGAATGTTTTCCACAAGCTTTTGGTCTTTTGTTGTGAGAGCGTATGCCATTACATCGACTGATTACTCCTTACTCTTAATAGGCAAGGTTCTTCTTCCAACAACTGATTTCGGGAGTGAGCTATTGTCATTCCATGGTACAGATTCTGGCAATTTGCTTGCAGGTAGCAGCTTTGGTCGAACATTACTAACTCAGTAGCACTCTTTATCTGTTTTCCCTGCAGCAAGTATGTCATAGAGATCTGAAACTAGAAAACACTCTCTTAGATGGTAGTGTTGCACCTCGGCTCAAGATCTGTGATTTCGGTTACTCCAAGGTAATTCCTGTGCAGATTATATATAGTAGTCTCTCAAGGTGGCATTTTTCATCACCTAAACTACTACCTTCCTTTTGGGCCCTTTCCATTTTCAGTCTTCTGTGCTGCACTCTCAACCGAAATCGACTGTTGGCACACCTGCATACATCGCTCCAGAGGTCCTCTCTAGAAAAGAGTATGATGGAAAGGTAATGTCTGTTGTACTAGTGCATTGTTTTGATGTTGTAAGCACTGCAGCTGAAACCTTGAAACACCACATGTGAAATATTAGGTTGCTGATGTTTGGTCTTGTGGAGTAACACTATATGTGATGCTCATCGGCGCATATCCTTTTGAAGACCCCGATGACCCAAAGAACTTCCGCAAGACGATCACTGTGAGTACACCAATACCCCACCTTTATGGTGTTCGCTAAAACCAAAAAACTATTTTCCTTTGTTTAGTAATAAATCTGGACAATGATATGGAACTCGTTGGTGTCTTGCACAGAGAATACTCAGTGTACAGTACTCAATTCCAGACTATATTCGCGTTTCAACGGAGTGCAGACATCTGCTGTCTCGGATATTTGTTGGAAATCCTGAGCAGGTACTTTTTTTTTCTCACTTGACATAATTCAGCTTACAAGTGCCAAGCTACATCATCTTCCAGTAATCTGTTACACTCATAATTTGCCTCGCCGCAGAGAATAACCATTCCTGAGATCAAGAACCACCCGTGGTTCCTCAAGAACCTGCCCATCGAGATGACCGACGAGTACCAGCAGAGCATGCAGCTGGCAGACATGAACACCCCGGGGCAAAGCCTGGAGGAGGTCATGGCGATCATCCAGGAGGCGCGGAAGCCAGGGGACGCCGTGAACCTTGCCGGGCAGCTGCTGGGGAGCATGGACCTTGATGACATTGATTTGGACGATATCGACGACATCGACATTGAGAACAGCGGCGACTTCGTTTGTGCAGTGTGAATGTGTGATGCTCACGCGTGGTTCAGGTAGCAGAGTAGCAGCGAGCTTCCTTTGGTTGTTGATGTCTGTAGATCCTTGTTGTGTTATGCTTCCATTCGTTTCTGGATCATGCATGTTGTGTAACCGAGAAATTGGCGTTGTTGCTGTCGACAACATATATCATGAAACTTTTATGCTGAAATCTTACACATAAATCCTCTGTGATCGGTTGAATTAGCACATCAGTTCCCCTGTGATTCCTGTTGCCGATCTGCAACGGTACAGCTTATATTACTTTAGCGATCTGCAGTTCATTTGAAAAAATAGAATCATTTCAGGGATCTCAATATCAGCAGACCTAGTTGTGAATTTTGTTGTCGACATTGTGATCCTAACATAATTTATTACTCTACGCTAGAGTCACCATCATCTGAAATTAAGATCTACGAATCAGTTTAGTATCGGGGCCTCGTTTAGATTACAAATTTTTGCAACCTGGACACTGTAGTACGTTTCGTTTGTATTTGACAAACTTTGTCCGATCATGGACTAACTAGGCTCAAAAGATCCATCTCGTGATTTACAACCAAACTATGTAATTAGTTATTTTTTTATCTACATTTAATGCTCTATGCATGCGTCCAAAAATTGATGCGATAAGAGAGAGTGAAAAAACTTGGAATTTGGAGGTGATCTAAACAAGGCCCGGGTCATAGGATTTCGTAGAAAATCGTATATAGGATTGTATGTAGGATTCCGTATAGAATCGTATGGCGACAAGAAAACCTAGGAGCAAGTTTTTACTACAAGATATGGTAGATCGAATTCTTCTCCACACAGTGGGCATTGTCCGATTCGCGTACAAAGATAAGGGAAGCTAGTGCATACCCGACCGGAGAAATGTACTAACAAAAAACAGAGTAAGGCAAAATGGCCATTTATAACCTTCATTTTCGGTTCTTTCTCTGACAAGGGCAGCTCCGAATTCGGTAGGGAAACTGAGTTTACAAATTACAAGACACGAGCATAACCTGAAATACTTTCTTTACTTTCAGTAAGTAAAGCACAATATGTATTCCTAGTAGAAGGTAGTATACAGTTGCGGACTTGCGGTTTGTTCGGCATAGGAAAAGCATTGAGAAATCTTCGAAGACGGAAATGAAAATAAACTGGACAAGTCATTTTTCCCCTACAGTAGAGTATTTTTAATTGCAGCAGTCGACCCTAAACAAAAGAACCAGCTAATGGCGCGCCCGTGCCACGTCACAACCAAAAATGAAGGCAACATAAGCAAAAGAAAAAACAGGAGTGGCATGATCGATAATTTCATCGATCCGATCGATCATCCATCGTGGAGACTGTAATAGAGACGTTGAAGAACGCGACCAGTCTGACAGATCGATGCGCAAAGCCGGCCAGCGGCCACGAACGAACGCAGAACGCTACGCAGATCGATTGGCTACAGGCCGCCACGGGTGTTCTTGGCGGGACGCCCGAGGTCCGCCGCCGGGCCCGGCGTCGTCGTCGTCGTCTTCTCATGCTTTCGAGGCAGCAGGTGCGGCGGCGCGCGCAGGCCCAGCACAACGGTTCGCTCCACCCGGGGCGGCGCCGCCACCGGCGGCGGCAGAGCTGAGCCGGGCGGTGGCGGCTGCCACGGCTCGAAGACGCGCGCGCGCCGCTCCTCCTCCTCCTCCTCCTTCCGGGCTTGCTGGGCGTACTCGGCCCGGGCGTCGCGCAGCAGCAGGGTCATGAACAGCTCCATGGCCTCCTCGTCGCCCCCGTTGTCGAACACGTCCTCCCAGCGCTGAGGTACACCGCCGTCTTTGGCGGCGCCGGGCGCCGCCGCCGCCATGGCTTCCAGTCCGAGGCGCCGCACGATCGATCGATACGCGTGCTCAGCGGGGCGCGCTAGCTAGCTTGCTGTAAGCGTCGGCGGTGTGGATGTCTAGTTCTTTTCGATATATAGAACTAGGCTAGCGATGATGGGAGATCGAGTTGCAACGGTGACCGCGTGGTTAACTCGGATCCGAGTCCGTTTTCGGTTGCGCCGAGTTCGGCCGTTTCGCTTCGGCCGAGGGCGGGGGCGCTCACGGCCTGGCTACAAAAATAAGTTAGATTTGAGTTAGCCTGTTTTTACTAGTGTTTGGCTGTCATGTGCAAACTAAGCCTGGCTAAGTTAGCTTTTGATTGGTTGTCTGGATTAGTTGGTACTGATACCTCTTCTCTAGAACAGTGACCTTACCCCCTTCACGTTGTTCATCTCGATGGCGACCGGTGTACAGGGGAAGGAAGAACGACTGAGAAGCTATGCTCCTCTGCCATGGCCGGCGACTACGTAGACGGTGGTGGTAGCCTGATGCGCCCTCGACGCTCGCACGACCAAGGTGGGGGTGGTGGGATTTGTAACACCCTTGATGTTATAGACTTAGTTAGCACTGAGGTTAAGGCGTAATAAACCCTAGCGTATATGTTTTCCAAGATTTTAAAAATAAATTCTCACATGAAATGGTAAGGTGAACCTGGTGTGACTTACTCTTGTGAATAAAAAAAATCAAATAAGTGTTGCTAATCAATTTTTTATGGTACTTAAAAGCTTTTAAATAATCTTGGGAACAAAAGTTGTTTAGGGTTGGTTTTGAAAAAGTTTGAAGAAAGTGCTTAAAATGCCTGATAGCAATTCTAGCAAATAAATAGTGCATGACTTGCCCTATTTGATTAAGCATGAAAACTAATTTTTATAAACAAAAATAAAATATAACTTGTATTTAGTATTTAAATAAAATTTGAAGTACAAGTTTGGTAGATGAAAATACAACTTTTGCTTTGGCGAATAGATATTGTTCAATAGTATTTTTGATAGCTCGAGAATTGAATGTGGAATTCAGTTTCAGCTTCTAGAACTAAAATGACCTAAGTCTAGAAACCTAATGACGATGCCGTTTTGGCATTTAAATTTTGATTAAATTTCTTAAGTACTAGATCCATGTTTTTGTACCATTAGTTGCACCATAACGAGTACCTTGACATGGTGTAGTTCATGGACTAGTTTGGTTTTGCGTTGACGTTGCAAAAATTGCCCAAACTTCGTTGAAACGAGCTGTAGACCATGTTGTTAGTGCTATGTTCGCGAACCGGCGTTCAGCGTGACGAACTCCTGTTGGCATCCTTTTATCTCCCTCTCTGGTTGCTCTCTGGTCGTGACGCTTGCTTTGCTAGGTCACTGTTAGTATCGGCTTTAGGTTAGTGGAATTGGTTGAACCCCGGTCGTGTTGAGTAGCAGCCTTTGCTTCGCTTTAAAATGCGTGCGCGACACTGATTACCGTCTCTGGAATTGGTTCCTTTCTCTAAGCATCTTTATTTCATTGATTATATATATATATTTATATATATAATCAATGAAATAAAGAAACACCTTGAAAGTCTAAAGTTAAAACACTTGTTGGGAAATAACGTCTTATTGGACAATATGGGTACATGGCCTAGTACGTTAGTCATTAGAGCTAGCTCGTTAGCGTGAGAGGCGTAAACGTATTTTAAGAGTTACGGTTGTCGTTGATTAATTACGTCTCTGCGTTGCATCTACGTACATTATAATAGGAATAATGATGGATCATGTAGTCGACCGGAGTAGCAGAAAAGATGGTGCCTTGATGATCGTGTCACCACGATGGAGTAGCAGAAAATTCATGTGCTACAGAAGTTACTACAACATGGCATCGCCACTTTAGACATAACTGGAGAGGCATCAGATCAGAACAATCAAAAGACAAACACATAGTACTGGTGCATATGGACCACAGAAACTATATAGATGTCTATAGTTGAATGACAAGACCTAATATATAGCTGACGTACAATATAGCTGAATGACATTTCAGGGTCAGTACCAAAATGTGCACGTCCTACTCTAACTCAAAAAGACTTACCCAAGGCTATACACAGTTGAGTGGAGCATGCAAATCTTCTGGCTTCACCGTAGAGCGATAAAACATTCACTTGTGTGCTGGCACAAATCACAATTGACATGTTAAATTTATTTATATAGTATGACAAAGACAAATAACTGAAATGAACAGCTAGGACAAAGGTGGGCCAGTAAAAGACAGCACGCTTGGAGACAATGGAATGCATACTTGCCAATTTACTGCTAGGTATGCACCACAATCAGCGTAGATTAGCCCACAGAATAAGACATTCATGCATTAACTTGGAGGCACTGACCAACCAAATTTGATTCGCTCAAACCAGCAACAATTCATATGGAAAACTATATAACAGAAGAAAAAACTTACAGGTAAAGTTTTTAAAGATCACAAACACATACAAGCATGAACCTTGAGCTCTGACTTAAGACAAGCATGAAATTTGCACATATTTCACGTTCATTATAGTTCCACATATTGCACATGCTCATAACTAAAATTGCAATGCTCGTTACTTGCAATTTACATTATCAGTGATTGCGATAAGTGCCTTTGATCCAAGTAAGCAACCTAAGATCGGCACTCAAGATTTTTGGTTAATTTTCTGCTTACTGGACAGTACAACATGTATGTATTGGACATGATATTGTAAACTATGTTTTCCAGTAGCTCATCCTAGGAAGCCTAAACGAGGAGATATTAGCATGTGTATATATACGACATGTTTAAACTAAACAAAAATTTCAGAAATATGTACAATTGGCATACATCTACAAATTAGCATTGCAAAAGTTATTACCTTGCCAGTATAAAGAGAAGCAGAGTTGTTGTCTTACGAGTTGATATCAAAACCAATGTCATTGTCACCATTTACTGATTCACCGTCGTAAATGAAATCATCCTCCTCCATGGGTATCGAAAAAATATCAAATTTCTATTATGAAAGTATACAATGTGTAGTGCCATCCTAACTGAAATTTTGGACATTTCAACACTAAACTAAACTGCAGTTGAGTGGCAGTTCATATGTCTGCATAGTTGAATGACATCTCAGGTCAGTACCAAAATGTGCATGTCTCATTCTAACTCAAAAAAGCTTACCCAAGGCTATACACAGCTGAGTGGAGCATGTAAATCTTCTAGCTTCACATGAACTAGTCTCCACCACCATAATCAGTGCCATCTTCCTCTCACATGAACTAGACTGGTGGAGCCATAACAAAACAAAAATACAATTAATCAAGCAAATCGACACCACATCAGGAAAAGGGATCGAGGAAATCAAGCAACAAATGAGGAACACAGATCAATGGGCTAATCTAACACGATAACTTTCTGGAGTATCTTCACATACATTAGAATTTCATTATTTGTTCTTTTCCTAGTGTTTAAGAACAAAATACCTTTGGTTGGGCCATTGTACATTCTTCAGGCAAGAATAACTCGGGCTTGAAAACTCCTTCTGCAAGTAGTCCAATCAAAGTTACTAGAGACCATACTAGAGAGCACAAAAATGACAAAAATACAGCAAGTTTACATTTAGAAACAAAGAGAACACAAGTCTGCACAAAGACAGAAAACAAAGAGGACACGGTGAGCTGCTGCTCAAACCTACAGAAAATAGAGCTGAAAATAAAAAATATGGTTCAATACTAATCAACAATTGTACCTTTGGGCTATATATAGAGCAACGTTAGCTTCCTAGCTACAGAAAAAATTTAGGCCTACGCAAACTATAGTACTACACATTAGGATTATTCAGACATGTGTTCCTCACTAAAACATGGAAGGCAAAGGAAACACAAGATTCTGAAACAGAAAGTTGGATTGAGGTGGATACACAGGAATCAGAAATCACTGTAATGTTATTTGTTTCAAATGTGCAATTATAGGATGCAGCTATTGCAAAGCAATGCAATACTGTGATCAGGTGAAAACAAAGAATTGAAAATTAAATAAAGGCAATAGAAGCACATGTTCCCACTTTCCAATATGCCGGTTGCATACACATGCATACACAAAGTCCAAATATTATCAGCTCAAATTGCCAACTGAAAAGTTCTAACTTAATAGGTTCAAGCAATCAAGCTAAAGCCTAAAGGATGTTCTACTGAACAACAATCAGGAGTTTAGGAACAATTTGCCGATGAATAGAGTGACAAGCATCGCCTAGCAATGGAATTACAAGATTCAGTTAATGACGATGCCGTTTTGGCATTTAAATTTTGATTAAATTTCTTAAGCACTAGATCCATGTTTTTGTACCGTTAGTTGCACTATAACGAGTACCTTGACATGGTGTAGTTCATGGACTAGTTTGGTTTTATGTTGGCGTTGCAAAAATTGCCCAAACTTCGTTGAAACGAGCTGTAGACTATGTTGTTAGTGCTATGTTCGCGAACCGGTGTTCAGCGTGACGAACTCCTGTTGGCATCCTTTTATCTCCCTCTCTGGTTGCTCTCTGGTCATGACGCTTGCTTTGCTAGGTCACTGTTAGTATCGGCTTTAGGTTAGTGGAATTGGTTGAACCCCGGTCGTGTTGATTAGCAGCCTTTGCTTCGCTTTAAAATGCGTGCACGACACCGATTACTGTCTCTGGAATTGGTTCCTTTCTCTAAGCATCTTTATTTCATTGATTATATATATATTTATATATATAATCAATGAAATAAAGAAACACCTTGAAAGTCTAAAGTTAAAACACTTGTTGGGAAATAACGTCTTATTGGACAATATGGGTACATGGCCTAGTACGTTAGTCATTAGAGCTAGTTCGTTAGCGTGAGAGGCGTAAACATATTTTAAGAGTTACGGTTGTCGTTGATTAATTACGTCTCTGCGTTGCATCCACGTACATTATAATAGGAATAATGATGGATCATGGAGTCGACCGGAGTAGCAGAAAAGATGGTGCCTTGATGATCGTGTC